GAGAAAAGGATCGACACTCACCACCTATTTGTCGACTTTAAAGCCGCTTTTGACAGCACTAAAAGGAGTTGCCTATACGCCGCTATGTCTGAATTTGGCATCCCCTCAAAACTCATACGGCTGTGTAAAATGACGTTGAGCACTACCACCAGCTCCGTCAGAATTGGAAAAGACCTCTCCGAGCCGTTCGCCACAAAACGGGGTTTCAGACAGGGCGACTCCCTTTCATGTGACTTCTTTAATCTGATGTTGGAGAAGATAATAAGAGCTGCAGAACTGAACCGCTCAGGAACAATTTACTACAAGAGCGTGCAATTGCTGGCTTATGCCGATGACATCGACATCATCGGTAACAAAAACCGCGAAGTCTGTTCTGCCTTTTCCAAGTTGGATAGGGAAGCAAAGCGCATGGTAAACGAGGACAAGACGAAGTATCTCCTGTCATCAAACAAACAGTCAGCACATTCACGCCTTGGCTCCCACGTCACTGTTGACAGTTACAATTTCGAGAAAGTAGAGAATTTCGTTTACTTGGGAACCAGCATTAACACCGATAATAATGTCAGCATTGAAATCCAACGTAGAATCACTCTTGCCAACAAGTGCTACTTTGGACTGAGTAGGCAATTCAGGAGTAAAGTCCTCTCTCGACGTACGAAAACCACGCTCTATAAGTCACTCATCATGCCCGTGCTGGTATATGGCGCAGAAGCATGGACAATGACAACATCCGATGACGCGGCTCTTGGGGTGTTTGAGAGAAAGATTTTGCGGAAGATTTACGGTCCTTTACGCGTTGGCGACGGCGAGTACCGCAGACGATGGAACGATGAGCTGTATGAGCTTTACAACGATATGGACATAGTGCAGCGAATTAAAATACAGCGGCTCCGCTGGCTTGGTCATGTCGTTCGAATGGACACCGACGCTCCAGCTCTGAAAGTATTCAACTCGGAACCCGCTGGTGGTAGCAGAGGAAGAGGGAGACCGCCACTGCGATGGAAAGATCAGGTGGAGAAGGACTTGGCTTCACTTGGCGTTTCCAATTGGCGTCAGTTGGCACAGAGGAGAAACGACTGGCGTGCTTTGCTGAACTCGGCCAAAATCGCTTAGGCGGTTACAGCGCCAAAAAAGAAGAAGAAGTTAATGTGATGAAACCAGCATATGGCGCCATCAAGTGTTGGTGCCAGCCGATTGACCGTCTATGTTCTTGTGGTGTGATTGTACCAGCATGCTGTTGTCTTGAATGGTGAAATTTGCTAATTTTTTTATGTAAAATGTATT